AAGACTCACGATGCCCTTTAAATGAAATGATCCTTTGACTTCTTAGAAATGGTAAAGGAATGCTGGAATTATCGGATAAAGCCTTATCTTATAAAGGTAGGCATTATGAAATATAGTGTATCGCTTTGTTTGGTTCAGTTATAAAGCACAATAGTTATCTGTTCAGTTTGTGATTAAAAAAGGTTATTACTGGGAACTGGTTTAATTGGTAAGTATTAGCAAGATAAAATAAGAGAACTAAGATAGCCTAACTAAAACCCCTCAATTTACCTCCCATTTCGCATCCCGATTCTCGCTGGAGCGGGCTCTGTTGCTCGAAAACAGACCATCTTTGACAAGAGCAAGCCTTGATGAGGCGAATGAGCCGTTGCTCTTACATTTCTATCATGTTTCAGTACGGTTTCTAGCTACTTTTCCTTCACCAACTTTCGTGTTTCTATTTTATTAGTTTCTTCGAAAAGAAGCAAGAATTCTTTTAGTGCATATATATCTTGCATTAACAAAGTCGTTTTCAAAAGCAATATTCTCATTCTATTCGAAAACTGCATTGATTGCACAACTATTGGATATCTTGATCTGTAGTCTATGAGTGCTATTAAGTAATTCTTTGTTGGACATGGTCCTTGAATGTCCAAAGCTGCTATGTGCCAATTTGTTGAGGGTATCTTTGTTGCCTCAAGTGGTTCAAAATTGACTTTATTGGATCCTGTTACTTGACAAGCATAGCAACCTTTTATCAAATTTTTCACTTCTTGATCTATTCCTGGCCACCATGCTTTATCTCTCAATAATCCTTCAGTTTGCCAAAGTGACTTTGGTATGCTATGGCAAGTATTATTTGTCTTCAGTCTGTAGGAATTATTATTCTCGTCTTTATCCAGAGTTCATTCCGGTTGAAAAAATGGTTTGTATTTGTTAACTGTTCTCCTATAGCTTAATGTAATAGGATGTAAAATGTATTTGTTGATACTTGCTTATAGTGGGCAGTGAACTTGCATGGTTGCATAACCATGTCTGCAATGTTTGTGCAAGGCTTTCTCTTAGTGATAAACGTTTTTTCAAGCGGTTTGTAGTCAGTTACTTTATATTGTGAATTTTCTGCCATACCAATAAAAATGAAACTTCTGTGTTGAACAAAATTCTGCTACACCTTCTCTTTCTGACTGAGAATATATTTGTTAGGTTGGACTTAATGCTTGTGATGCATAAGCAACTGGCTTGAATTGTCCATCTTGTTATTTATGAGTAAGGGCGGATCCAGAGCAAATTTGCAGGGGCAGGGGGCAGTTGGTAGTGGGGGCGCTGAAAAATTTTCAAAAATTGGTTACGAGAGTACGCTGTATACAACAATTTCAGATACCTTTAAGAATAAACAACACAACTTTGAGGTAATCCTTGAAGCAAATTAACCTATCGGTCCAAGAACCTTTTTCATCTGATTTTCATTCTCCACAAGGGGCGCACAATTTCCAAAAAGGGGCATCAGACTTGCTTCAACTCGTTGAGGGAGGGGCAACTGCCCCTAGTTGCCCCCCTTAAATCCACCACTGTGAGTAAGGATTGCCCCTAGTCCTAATGGTGAAGCATCCACAATGACTCGTATGTCTGTTTTGGGCTGGTAATAAAGTACACGCGTGCTTGCATTTGTCAGGCCTTCCCTTAGCTTTGTAAAACTTGCTTGCTGTTCATTGTTCCATGCAAAAGTGGTTTCTTTGCTGGTCAGTTCCCTCAGTTGCTCTGTAGGTGTCTTTTAGTGTGGTGGAATTACGATTTTACCCGGACAAAAATGATAAAAAGCTGTAATTTGGCACATAGGTTCCATGCGATACTGACTGCAGTGCTTTGAATAGCGTTTCAAGAAGCTCTGCCATTTCCTTTAAGCTTGATGCCCATAGCAAAATGTCACCTGATAGTGATCAAAGTGTAGTGATCTTGTGCATGGGCATCCTGCAATGCTTGCATACTCAAAGATTGAACTGACTCCATTCCCAAGACGTTTTGATTGAAAGCAACCTTTATTTGCAAGGATTTGCAAGGGGTTTCGACTTTTTTGAGTTTCGAAAAGATAGCGACTCTTAAACGCGGTCGATTTTTGATAAAAAATTAAGCCATATATTAAGAAAATCATCGAACCTTTTTTGAATATTAAGTCTCTTAAAGACAGGCTAATTTGCTTGTGTGTGATGTGATATATCAGGACAACAATTGAGTTCACTCTCCGAATGTTCACTAAAAGTGATTTTTGTGTTCACTATAGAAAATGGCGACTTTTAAGAAGGGTTGACATTTGATAAAAGAATAAAGCCATGGGCTTTAAAAGTCGTGCAATTACTTTGAAAACCAATTCTCCTTAAAACAAATTAATTAGCTTCTATATGATTCAAAAGGACCGAATTCTGGATTGGTTTAAGAGGCCAAGCCATCTCTTTTCGGTGGGAAAAGCAACTTTTTAGAGTTGTCAATTTTTGATAAAAGCATTAAGGCTGTAGGCTTATAAAATCGTCGTTTTTGGAAAATAAATTCTTCTTTAACAAGTGAATTTTATTCTTCAGGATGAGAAAGAACTAGAACTAGATCTAGAGTTTAGTTGCTTTGTGAAAAAAATCGACTTTAGATCGAAAAATCAAAATCGAAGAATCGATTGTGCAATTATTTAAAATCAAATTTCCCTAAAAACGAGCTAACTTTTATCTTTATAACTACATAGAGATCCAATTTCGATGAAAGTAAGCTATTTTGACTTACAAAATCGTCAAAGGTTTTCAAAAAAAGTATTTCAAAAATAAGTTAATTTTCTTCTGCACGATTAAGAAGGATAAGGATTGAGTTAAGTATCTGAATCAAAGTCGTTTTTGCCAGAAAAATAGATTAAAAATATTCGAATTGTTTAGAAATCTAACTTTTCGAAAGCAAGTTCATGTTTAATGAAAAAAATAAGAATTCAATTTAGCTTCGGAAAAAGGGAATTTTTTCCAAATATTTAGCACCTTTTGATAGGGGTCGATTTTAGATAAAAACAAAGGGCAATAGGCTTGGAAAATTCGTCGATTTTTTGCGAAAACAAGTTGAGTTTCGTATGAATGATGTGAAAGAACTATATAGAATTGAGTTGAATCTGTTTAGTCTCCGGATTTAAGTCGTTTTGAGAACAAAATAGCCACAATTAGTAATTCGATTTTTGATAATCAATCAAAAAAACTTTTAAAACTGTGAATTTTTTAGAATATTTTTGCTTGTTCAGAACACTCTAAAAAGAGTTCGGCCTAATTTACATTCGCAAAACAATTTCCCAGTAGTTTTGCTGGATTTCTAGTTCATGTATTCAAAAAAATAACTCAATTATTTTTGACGAAGTTTGTGACCTTAGAGCTCTAAAATCTTCGTGATATGTATAGATTTTTTAAAAAAATTTCTTTTGCTCTAAACAATTTAATATGTTAATCAAATACCTTTCTGTCATCTTTTGAAGATAATATGTTGAATTTCCAAGTCATATCTGAAAGAAAAGTAACGATAAAAACACAAAAAAGCTCGACTATAAAACTTGAAAAAAATTCAACAAAAATGTAAATAATTTTGAGGAAATTTTTATAATCAAAAATACCTAAGAAGATTTGAATTACTTTTACAACCTAATTTTAGTTAGATTTGTTGACTTTTAAGCTCATGTTTATTTTCATGAATTGATTTTTTCACTTTTGACGTCTGCGAAAGTCTGTAAATTTGGAGCTTCAAGTTAGTCCTAGATATGTATAGGCCTAGATTTTTTAAGACATTTTTGCTCAAGATTTTTGCTCAAAATAACTTAAAAATCTAAATAAATTCCTTCCTATAATCCTTTAAAGACATTATGTTGAACTTTTAAGTCATATCTGAAAGAAAATTTACGGAGAAGCTACAAAAACGTTCGGCCATAGAGCATGAAAAAACGAAAAAACTTTTTTTAAAGAATGGTTTTTGCTCAAAACAACTTGAAAAGCTTAAATTTGCATTCAAAACAAAATTTATTGTAAAAGCAAGGGCTATAGGCCTAGAAAATTCGTCAATTGTTTTCAGAGAAAAGATGAGTTACTTCTGTATGATTATGTTTATGTAAAAAAACTCGAACTGAGTTTAAACTAAACTGTTTGGTCTCCGAATATTGGTCGTTTTGAGAGGAAAATAACGACTATAAGAGAGTTCGAATTTTAATGATCTACGAAACTTTTTTAAAACAGCTACGTTCCTTGTTATAAGTGCCAGATCCCTAATCAGTAATTGCCATTTTACATCATATTTGAAATTTGGCGGGAATTCTAGCTGGGCCTACGACTATAACGTGGAGTTGAAGTAGCTGCAGCATCAACTTCCCTCGCATGCTGTTTACATTGACTGCGATGTTTAAATTATAAAAAAAGTCGAATACCATCACATATAATGTAAATAATGACAGGAAGATACTAAACTAGTTTGCTCACCGTATCCATAGCGTATGCATTAGGGACTCATCTTTACCTTTGGTGCTGCGATAGTAGGCCAATAACAGAACACCATCTCCACCGCCATTACCAAGACAAATACAATTTAGCACTCTGCTGAAACTGTAGCAACTCAACTCAGGAGTTCCAAAGTTAGGGTGTAACAACTAGTTTTTATTTGGCAGGAGCTACAGCAATATCTTATAACTATATTTGGTTTATAAACAACATTTCGAATACAATTTCGAAGAACTCGTATCATGGCTTTATTACGTAGACAGTCGAACAAAGGCGACTGTCTAGTTCCCAGGATAGGGCAAAAGTCTTATCAACAGCAATACTACAATACTTTATCTTTCAAGCTTCCTTTGTTTTTAACTCTCAGGGGATAGGTGGTATTGTGGCTGCATGCAATATGGAGATATTCTTGAGCATGATGCAACATCTAACCAATCCAATCTAGTCATGGCAGCCAGAAGTGTGTGAAACACTCGCTGACTGACTGTTTCCCTTGCTTTAGGTTCACATAGGAAGAAGGCATAGAAAGGCAAACTTTGTTTCATTCTTTGTTGATATCATTACATTGATAATTGTACTTAAAAACTCTAGGCCATGCCCATATCTTAAACACACCCAGTAAAAAACTAAATAGATAAGAGAACAAAGCTTTGAGCTAGAAGGGTAAGGTAATGTAATCGAGAAGTTTTGGAAAAAGGGTGGCGCTAAACTCAGTCAACATAAGGTTAACAGGCAATCTGCTCTGCAGAGAAGTTACATAAAGTACATACGTATGTTCTTAACAATGACGTCATATAAATAAAAGAGGGCAGTCCATTAGGAAAGACGCTTGATACAGTTGACCTTATGAGCAAGAGTAGTAAACGATTTCAGTATGAACTGTTTTCTTGCTGAGACGTTGGACATTTCCAGTCCCCATACATATCTTCGATCTTTCTTCACTTTCTTCGCGTTGTTTCAAAAAGGCAGTGGCGGCGCCAAGGGGTGGCATGGGGGGTAATTACCCCTCACTATTCTGAAAACATGGTCTACATACTTCTTCTAAAAACAGATTGAAAAGCATTGGGCAGGGGTAGACCTAAGGAATGTTATCCTGATACAAAGCGTGGTCTCATTGGCCAAGCCCATTACCCTCCCACTTTGTAATAGCTGGCACCGCCACAGCAAAAGGGTGTGCATAATAACACTGGCGCCGCCACTGCAGAGGGGCGTTTCAAGGCTATGTTGTCTAAGGTTGTACGAAAAAAGTACTGAATGACAATACGTAATTACGTTACTTAGAACATACAATAACACCAAAATACCTAGGGCATTCCGAGAGATGACGAATCTTAAATCTACTTCCTCCTTGGCCTCAGCATTAAAAGATAAAAACAGTTTTATATTATCATTAACACATGGGATTTTCCTATCTGATTCGAGGTTGGTAGGTTTTCTTATGGGAGGTCCTTATCGTTTGCAACCTTGGAGATTGCAGATGCTATCTTTTGGACAATAACATCCTTTGTGATTATGTTGAAAGAAATATAACACTGAAAAGATAAAACAGTACGTTAACGCTGTTGCAAAATTTTGCATTGTTTTAGGACATTCTAAGGGCAGAATTTATCTGTGAGAAAGGTCGTTATATTTTTCTTTTTTATTCATGCTGAGGGTTAAGGCTCTTCTAAAATCAAACAAATGACTGAAGATTAATCTTAAATGCTACATCAAAAAAACACACGAATGGAAGAAAACCCTTATTTTAATAAGTTTTGTCTTCTCAATACATACACCTTAGTAACAAAGATTTTGGAACATTTTTATGGTGCTAAGCCATTCTTAGATTTAAAATATTTTGTTACACTCTACAACTACTGTTAGAACGCTGCATGAACGTAGATTAGGCCTCGTGGCGATGACGTCAGATCTTAGAGAAAACGTTTGGGATACATATTTTAATGATCACTTTAGAACAAATAATAAAACTTATACAAGTCAGTAGACTAGAATTAATATTTTCTATGCCAGCTCCACAAAAATAATATAATCGAATTTTTAAGAGACAAGTGCTGTGGCAAATGCCGAATGTTTCCATGGTCCGTTGGCATTGAGATTCTCAACCCCCTTCTTAGAAACTCAAAGATATGCCGCAAGAAGATCTAATATATGGTGGCTACGGATTTACTTTAACTTTGTCCAGTTTTCCACAATATTAACCTTGTAAATCATTTAAATCAATTTAGTCCTTAAACATTAATGAATTCAATAAAAATGTCAAAAGAAAACGCTAAACTCAGTCTTCAGTTGTCTGATTTCACAATAAATTTCACAAAAGGTGAAATGGGTAGCATTGCCACTGCAGCGGGGAACAGTGCGGAGGGTATCGTCGCTGAGAAGGCTTAAACTACGCCATGCAGCTGTCAATCACCCGAACATTTACAATGTTTTTAATCTAATCAACAGTGAATTACATACGGACTAGACCTTACAAATGGCAACATAGGCCGAATCGAAGCTTGACTCAATAATCAATAACGGTAGATTACAATTATGTGCAATTAAAGTCAAGTTGTTGCCATAAACAAACGATTTCAATCAATAATACTTTATAATTTGTTTCTAGTAAAATACTGACAATCAACATAATCATAATTATAAAGGAATACACAACTATCATACTATCAAAATATTCAGAACCTTGAAGGATAAGATACTCGGGATGCTTCACTTATCTTTGAAAGCGAATGCAATATTTTAAAAAGAAAGGTTTCTCAAAAATATCTAAAACAAAATGCTTTTGCGAACCGTCTGCGATTAATTAAAGTAGTCAAACTCCGAAGCTAGGAATTAGACTCATGGTTGCAATTTTGAACTGCATTTCATGGTGTAGACGCCTATTTAAAACGACTGGGTCCTTCTCCAAGAATTCTCGCGGACGAGGGCTGCAGAAGAAAGGCCTACATGTCTACGATAAACACCGTTGGTTCAAAGCGTGAAGTGGTTTTAGTAGAAAACAAAAGGAAATATTAAAAGGCGTATTAACCTTTATGTTCAGCATTTTGGGTTCAAATAGTTTTGATCAGAGAAATTAAAGGCTAAGCTATTATTATCTTCGATAATAAACAAAATCTGTAAAAGGTTGCTATACCATTTAATAGCGTGGAAAAGTATGACGTAAGCATATTTTCATCGACGGCAAAGACTGCAAGAAACTAAAGTCAAGAATCGCTTATATAGGTCCCATTACGGCCAACAGTTTCAGTGACCCAACGAGCAGAACAAAATGCAATAAAATCATATACTTTTGTGCCATTTTAAATAGCTCTTATAACAACCAATTTTATAAGTACATTACGTGAAAAAGGGTTGTGACCGCGGGTCCTATAACAACCCTAAGAAAGGCTTGCTACAAACTACGAAGCTACAAACTGCTACTAAAATACTCATCGCTGATGCACGTATAAATTTCATCTTCTAATTCAAGATAGTTCTGTACAAAAATCCGGCCTAACCTTTTTTGCTACAAGTATTTGCTCTTTTCAAGATAACCTAGCAATGTTTTAAAACATAAACCGAAGCACCAACGCATTTCATGCGAGAAATAATTAAACACAACAGAAACAGTTCACCTTAACCCGCGAAGCTGTTCACCTTAACTGGTGATGCTGTTCACCTTAATTTGCATCCCTCTGCCTCAACTTTCAGATGAAATGACATTTGCCTCAGAGCTCTTCCTCAATGGACTGAAACAGAATTGTGAAGCTGATTAGCAACAAATGTGAAATAGAGAGTTATATGTCAAATATCAAGAAAATACCAATAAATGAGAATTAAATAAGTGTGGCATACGAAGTCAAGAAAAGTGACGTTCCTTCTTCGGGTAAAGCTCCTCAAACATTTGAATCTATTTTCAGAAAAGGTATACAATGCTGCTGGGGTTGGGAGTGAAACATTGATTTCCTTTAACTCCAATGACCTTAGGAAGTCTCGGGGACTTCAAGGTCTCGGGGGACATGTACCGTATGGCCACCATGTTTTTCAGGCTCTGGCGGTACACAGTGAATTTGGTGAAATAGGGAAGAACAAGTTCGATCCAACTTGTCAATACATGTAGCTCGCGTTTTGATTGACAATCACAAAATATGTCCAATTTAGAATCCTAATGGCTTAGATAAGACACCTGAACCAATCTTTTTTTAGCTGAACATTGTTGGGGAGACCGTTCTTTAGAGCTATTACTTTATCAATCTTTTAACCAGCAAGAAAAAGCCTCATATGCAAATGCGCATTAACGTAATTGGTTTGTGGAGAAAATTTACACTCCATGGCATTTCAATGTATTAGAAAAATATTTTATACTATAATTGCATCATACAAACTAGAGTTTTATTTTAACACCTCTCGTGACATCATTTGACTCGAGTTCAATGTGGCTCATTTCTCATAAGTGCCACGAATGTTTCTACCATTCTAACATTAAATTGTGCTATGTTACTTCCTTTTCTGCAAGCAGTTCGCTAGTACAACGCCATCAATTACAACTGCGCGTGTGAATATGATGAAGAAACATTTTGAAAGTCAACCGACCCTTAAAAAAATTTGATTTGTCTCCCCAACAAAACCTTTCTAGTATACAAGTCCCAAATCTCGACACCACAAAATTTGAGATAACAGCCACTTCAATGGCCTAATGGTGTGAAATTTTCCTAGACAGTTCATCTTTCTATTGTTGAAAGATAAAACAGTGTTTCTCCATCTTATCCATGACTTAAAAGTAGGAAGCATCCAGTACCTGTGTATTCTGGGTGAATAATTCCTATCTTCTACCAGCGATTCACTAGTAAAACTAAACTGTCCGTTTGAACTTTCATGCTTATATGCTCTTTGTTCTGAATTGGGGTCTTCATCAGTTGGTTCCTCTTTAATAGGGACAATCTGAGATGGAAGTCCACTAAAATGATAATTGAATATCTCCTCAAAATGGTCATAAGATTTTAAAATTTATCAGAGGGAGAAAATCAAATATCATATGAGAAAAATTTTAGGAGATGAATCAAATAACACTGGAAAAAATCAATTAATCTACCTTTAATCTAACAATTCTAAAGAATTCTGACTTTTTAAAAAAAGCGTAGAGACATACTTGATATTTTCGCAGAATTTGACTAGTGGTGCTACAGTATCATCCCCAGTTTCATTTGGGGTATCGGCCGACTTTTTACACGAAGGACTGCCATGTTCCCATGAATCATTGGAAATCTCATCCATGCCTCGTTTTCGCATCCCATTATCCATGACCATGCTGGGTGGTGGGTCTGCGTTCCATTCCTCTCCCTCGTATCCTTCAGCCATGTAATATTCCCGTTTTGGTCTAAAAAGATTGGGTTTAGAAAGTAGAAAACATGACAATTGCATTGGTGACCAGACCCCACGGCAATTGCCTGATAAAGCTACATATCTTGTCGCAACAACAATGGTTTTAATAAATTGTTTGTAATTACAGTGAATGTAGAAAAAAACCAAGCGACGTTGATAAATCAATTGATCATTCCATTCCTTGATCAATCAATTAAGCCCAATAACAACATAACATAACCGATTAATTTGATTAATCACTAAAGTGATCTCATAATCCTTAGCAATAAACCAATGATGTAGGAGATATTTTTGCCAAACGTTTGAGATATTATGGGTATATTAATGTGTTGAAATCAGCCCGAGTCATGCAATGCTTTCCAAGTGCGTTAAAAAAAATCTGATGTATTTTACAGTTCTGCTTCGTTTGCATTCATTTCTTGCTTAAAATTTTTTGTACTGGTATAAGAATATTTGGGCCAGTTTACACAGGAAAAATACACTGCTATTATCAAAATCAGAGATAAAAATAATACTTTCTTAGAATCAATACTTTAACACTGGAGTTAATTTCTGTAAGGGTAGAAGGAAAAGGTTGAGAAAAAGCAGCAATTCACGTTTGATTGGACAAATTTAGGCACGGATAAGTGTACAGAGAAACTGTGGGACGCGCGAAGGCGAGTCCGAGATTCTCGATTTACTGAAGTGTGTTTTTAAATTATTCTATATTAGTGCATCCTGCACACTAGCTTTGGCAAAGCCGGCTTCAAACATTGACTTATATTTGATGGTCATTAATTATAACTGTGTACGGAAAAAGGTTAGGTTATTGAGGAAAATCGATGAGAAGACAGCAACAACAAAAACATTGTATAGAAACTTATTCTAAAATGGCGAGCGTTCAATATTTTAGGTAGCCTTCACTATTCTGGTTAGAAGATTTTATTTCCAATCATCTTAAACAGAATTATTTACATAGAATTAAGAAACAGGTGTTCTTTCTAATCAAGTATATATGTACACAATGAAATAATCATATAAACTTCTTACAATCCTGGCTTTGTCATTCGTCTCCTAAAAAATTCTTCATCATCAACAGTCCATACTGCACCTTTGAAATTTTCTTTTCTGACAAAGCATTTATGCAGTGAAAGGTTATGTCGCACAGCATTCTGCAAAGATAAACACGAGAATTTATTCCAAAATAATTTTTTCAAACAATAAACAATAAACGCGATAAACTATGCAGAAACGCACCGAAACTATTTTCAGTTATTTTTCACTAATAATAGTACAGCAGGGCTGATTCTCTTTAATCTCGTTGTGTGTGTTAAAAATACGGATTCATTTGATTGATTGCAGTTTGTTTTGACTCGCGATTTGTTAAACTGTTTGCCGTCTCACCAAGAACGCCCACAATAGCAATACGTCTAAGCTTGCAGTTCCAATGAATTTAAGCAAAGTAAAAACAATAAACCTATCTGATTCTGACAGTTGTTGTACAAATCGGTGAACAACGTCAGTACAATATTTGCCTATTCTTTTCAAAACGAGCCAAGTTGTCTTCTCCTATAACCTTTTTGCCATTAAGTATTTACTCAAAATAGAATTCTACAATGGCCAGGCAAACAGGGTTTGCTGTGTTTAATTCAAAATCATTTTAATCGCAAAAGCTGAAAAAAGTTTGAAATTACATGTCTAAAGAAAAAAAACTTAGAATGAAAGTTAAACAGTAGGGAACATCCGTTTACGTTTGAAAATTGTATATATTTTGCATGTTAAGTTGCTTAAGCAATGGAGGTTAACTTAATAGCAAATATACCTTGCTCTTCAATGTGCAAAATTTTTAAAACCAAAAATCCGAAAATAGGGTGGATCACCAAACTGCGTACAAGATTTTTTCGAACACTAAAATTCTTAAGGATTTTTCCGGGATTTTTCTCGAAAACAAAGAAATTTTGCCAAAAGTGGGCTACATTTTCGTGGCGTGACATGCCCCACGTGAAAATCCAAACACGCATAAATTTCGGTTGATAGCATGTGCAATAATATTCTGGGCAATAGAGTTTTAGCCGAAAATTCATGATAAAAAGCAGAAAAAATACAGGACTGAGAACACATTTGCCTAACAAGTAGTTTTCGGCTGGGGTGAAGGAAAATTTGATCTGAAGTGTCTTTTTCCTGGCCACTTTTCTGTGGTACAGCTTAATCAACTTAATCATCATAGTCCAAAAATCAAGTTTGAATACAAAACGCAAAATATTGCATCTTTATGCACAAGTTGGTTTTGAACGCTAGGCATATTTTCATTACCTCAGCAAAATGGATCTCCGGACGAGTGGCAAGAAAAGCTGTTAAAATTCGTTATTTAGTTTAAGGTTAAGTTGCTTATAGTTTAGATAAACATTTGAATATATCCCTGCAGACAAAATCAGCTGCAACACCTTGCTTGAGTAAACAAATGTAACTTGATCTTAAACAGAAATGCATTGTGAAAATCACAGATCAGTTGAACATACAGCAACGGTCAAGCAAGCTTTTCAGAAAGGCCATGTGTTACTAACAAACAACCGAGTGATAGAATAAAACCACAAAGACACAATTTTCATACGAAAACGTTAAACTTTGTCAATTATGCGAACTCAGTGTTCGTACGATAAAGCAAAAACCTCCTAAATCACCAGCGAAGCTTAGCAGGAGTCCCTAATCTCCATTCGAAAATACACCAAGGCAGTGATTTTTATAAACTGAGGGCGTCACCCAGCTCTTAATCAATCCTATGACTCCTAAATGAGAAAAAGGTCTTCCTAAATCCTGTTTTCTGGCTTGTCAGACAATGATGATTATTGCCACAAAGCATGCTAGCAGACCGCGATTTTCTCTCCAAAAACTCACTTTTTCAAGCAAAAAGTTTTCAAAGCTCCGTTTTAAAAAGGCAACATCTGTCCGACTAGAAAAAATATTTGAAAAAGCCGGTGTTTCGAAGCAGAGGAAATAAATAAATAAAACTATTTCACATAAAGCTGACTAAAACACGGTACACTAGTATTGCAACCTTGAAAGTACAAGCGTGCAGAGCTCTGCCTAAAGGGCATAAAGCACTGTATAACTGCTTAACTTAAACTTTGCAAGCATAAGGTTGAACATTTATCAAATATTCATGAACAAGTACTCATCTACAATCTAGCAACACGTGATTGCTTTAGTTGGGAGAAATGTTGTTCGATTTTTAGCAGGCCACTTGCTAAAAAGAGACATCAACACAATACCCAAGTTCCGAAGATATCTAAATTTGTTTTCCACTAAGGGGAGTAAGTTCCTCGATTTCCAACAGAACGAAATCATAACCACAATTATATATTTTTAGTCTTCAAATCAATTGCCGAACAATATATTTGCATAATAATATACTGCAGGATAAAATATATCCAAAAAGTGTTAAAAAGTTCAATTGAGATCCATTGACACTAAAGTTGGTTTCAGAGCCAAATTATCAAAGAGAAGAATTTGCCTGTCTTGACCAACCAATAACAAATTAAAAAAGACTCTGATAACGATTTTGAAAACCGATCTAACGTTGTTATTATCAAGACTTTATTTATTGTGATAATTGACTAAAATAAGTGCTGTCAAAGTATAACAAAAAATTCTTCTTTGGCGAATAGAAGCAGAGAGAGAGAAGCATAATGAAATCTCAAAAAATATTTTAGATATGGAGCTACATAATTATGAAAATTATGAAGATTATGAAAATTATGGCCATAATGGTGGCTTATAATGATAGTTTCAAATCCACCTGTGAGCTCTGAAGAGGTTCCATTTTCATACAGATGATTAAGATACGTCTTTTGACGAAGGAATCTTAATTGACGAGATGGAAACAATCACAGATGATCTTGTGCTGGATTCAAAATTATTATCATAGTTGAAATACTGCGAGAATAGCTTTGATATCTTTTATTCAAGACTATTCTCACAGTAATTCATGCTTTATAGTAGATTTGATACCTTGGTTATTCGAACCTCGTTTATCCGAACCTCGTTTATCCGAACCTCGTTTATCCGAACCTTGGTTATTCGAACCTCGTTTCATGTGTAATGTTTTCATTTGACAGAACACTGGTTTAACCTCATCTCCAGTTAAATTCGAGCCCTCAAAGGAATTTTAGAAGTCACGAAGTCTATTAGCTTATCCGAGCGGCTCTTCTCACATTTCATTCCAAGCTGTTCGGATAAACGAAGATGTACTGTATTTGAATTTTTTTCTGGGACACGGTGCATCTCCACCGGTAGGGAGGGGGGGAGGGGGTTGGATAAAACTTTTGAACGTTAAAAATAAATTACTTCAACCCCGGTCCCTGTCATACTAAATGGCTGCTCTCTAATTCTAAAAAGAAAACTTCTTTTCATAATACCTCCTTTTATTCAAATGTATAATTTAGGCCAAAAAAAAGTTTTAGTAACTTTTGATTTAAAATGGCTTTCTCTACCACGAAAATGTTTTGATTTATCGAGCATGGAGCAAAACATGATAGCAGAAATGCAGGAAATTAAGTATCACATAACACTAACCTTCCACGTGCTGGTGTTCTTTCTGAAGTAGGCAAAATGCTTCATGAACCAATTGTAAATATCGTTTAGAGTCAGTTCACCATTAGCAGAGTCAAGAATTCCTTGTCGTATTAAGGATGCATACGTGTAAGGTGGTCTAACATCAGGGTCTTGAAAAATGTGTCCTTTAGTTTTCAGCTCTGAAATATGCAAAATAAGTACAGTGATCACAATTTTAGGGACATTTCCCAACTGCGAAGGCAATCGGAAACTCAAAGTGGTAGCAAAAACCTGTAGTCGAGTTGCTGTAAGGACGATTGGAGATGAAACGGTTATCGTATGAGAGGGGTGTGCCTTGGTCAAGCGACCTTAGCAAACTATTCTTCCTTGCCTGCTCTGCAACTCACGTGTCTTTCCAGTCCTACAAAAACTTCCGACGCACGACCTCTGCAATACAATTTTCGCTAAAAGTTTTGCTAGGAAAGCGACGCTGCTCCCTGAAATAGACAGGGTGACACCAAGAGGGTAATAGGGGGTGAGTAGGGAGATGTTAAAACAAAATGTAAGGAAATCATGAACATTACATAGTGTAACGTAGCAGTAGAAATAGACTGAAAATAACAAACGAATGCTTAAACCAGCATTCTCAAATAAATCCACTAGCTTCTGAATTTAGAATGCACCCCCATATCTATGTTAGTTTCATTAGTATTGCAACAAAAATAGTTTACAATATTTAGGCTACTAAGGTAAATAAAAATTCTAGCCGTGTATCTAAAAAATACTAGCCGATTCTACAATTACCTTCGCCTATGTCAACAACTGTTGTGCTTTCTCCCCTTCTTTTAGGCTTGGCTGCTTCACGCCCTTAAAAGAATTCAAGATTTTATTTACCTTTTTCAACGACTCAGTGATTCAAAATGCCGCGCTGAACATTATCAAAGGAAGGCTGAACAAAGAGCGTTTAGCTGAACCGCATACAAAAAGGCTGATGGTCTGCTTCAGCTTGCAGTTCTTAATTAAATGTTGTGACCAATTATTGGGACCAAAAATTGATGCACAATTGAACCTTGATCCTGTAGGGCAGTTGAATAAAGTTTTATAAGAGGTCTGAAAGGCCATTTGAATAATCAGAATATTGAAAAGCAAAAAGGAGGTTGACATCTAGAAATCCTTGGAAATCTCAAATCTGTCTATCTGTGATCACCGTGGCAAAAAATTGATCATCCTGTCACTAAAAAGTTTGCGACAAAAACCTTATCCAAAACCTTCTTGGGAACAGCTCACTTCTTCAGAAAATCTTTTTCTGAGACGTAAAATCAACTTTAATTAAATTTTATTGACGTTGAACTTATGCATAAAAAAAGGCGTTTGCAAAAAACTAGAATTATGACTGTGATCAAGCCAAAATAAATCATACCAAAATTAAAAACAAGAATCACAGGTAGAGTTACTTTGTCCGCGACAATTTAGGCAGCATCTTTCCTGTAGTTAATTGATGCCCACTACTGTTTCCACAATTTAGGCTGCAAAGCTGTTTTATTTACTGTAAGTTTATTATGCAAAAAATTGGAAACTTGAAAGACCGCAGACATACTAGCAGTCTGTTCCTAATTTAGACCAACAACCGAAAAGAGATCGAGACGGTTGTAACAAAATAGTATCAACATGGCTTTCCTTTTAAAACGTGATATGGAGCATCCATGACGGCGTATTGCGCACGCGTTTCTTCTGTTCAATTCTCAGGTTTCAAAACATCACTTCTAGTCCGTCCTTCGAAGAAGCCTGTGGACGCAGGGCTCCGAGGTAATAGAAAATCGACAACTCATGCAGAGAAACTCTTTACAATAACAAATTAAAGGTTGAAGTGGCTCCTAGCATTACAATTAATTACCTTCACCTATGTCAATCATAGCTGCCGCTTCACCCCGTCTTCTTACTGGATGATACGGCGATGATCGATTGACTGAAACATCATTCGGTGCTTGATTATGAATACCGGCATCAAGTGGCTGAAATTTGCGTTCTACGTTCCGCTGGTCGTCTTTCATTGAAATAACTTTATCTTCACTCCCTGCAGCTCCATCAATACGCTCTTCTTTCATCGCAGACGTGTTTCCATGACCAGAAATATAGCTCCTCATTTGAAATGGAGGCCGAACGTGATAGTGAGGCGGCATATGATAATGAGGCTGTGGGTGGTGCACCGAGTGATGGTGTACATGAGGAGTATGCTGTTGTATTATGCCATGCGGAGACGCATGTAGGTGTGGGGGAGCACCTGTTGATGAGGATGGGGATACATGTTCGCTTCGGTGACCATGGGGTGATGTTAGAGCGGTTCTTGAGTGGTGGCTAGACGAATGGCGCTCAACATCCTCTCGTCTGTCTGAATGAAACGACCTCACGGATCCATGGTGAGACGGTTGATTATGAGGTAAGACCATCATCAGCGGATTTGAGCTTGAGGTCGGTGGTGAGATAATCCGTGGAACCGAGGCTGCCCTGATATCATCCTGACAACAAACGTTTCCATCAATCAACATTCGATAAAAAGAAGTTTAAACCAAGACATTCTACATATACCAAGATCTCATTTCCATACACAATCAGGTTTAGCAATGCGTTTGTTGTATGACCCAGTATTCAATAAAAAAATCGATTATTGAATTAGCTCACATTCTGCATACACAGTTACAGCAAAAAAGCAACCAAGAACCCTTTTATTCAAAATGCTATCCCCATCAAAGGAAAAATTCCAAAACACCATAAGGTAGGTACTCGTTTTTATATCGAATACATCTGTAGAACTTATCCACTCTTGCATAACGAAATAGCATGATTCCCTGCACAAAGCAAAACGATTTTTACCCTTACTAGTTTGTATCCGCAATATGATAAACTAAGAGAGAATGTCAATAACGAAAAACAGTTTCAAAATACGATTCAGTTATGTTCTGTGAGTTTCAGGGCTAATAAAATAAAATAGAAAAGTTAGGTTATCTGTAAGCAAGGCAATAAGTAATGTCTTTCGTGCTTTTTCACATGAAGTTTTATAAGAAAATTACCTTGTCGTGAGCAAACTGTAAATGAGCCAAGATAGCAGATAATTTTCCCCGCTCGACAGCCAGCTAAGATAGAAAATTTCGCATTTTAGAAAAAGCAGCTTTAATATTAAAGAGAGTCTTTTACGACCAAAAATTCATTTGCGACTTGAAAAGGCATGACGTAAAAAGCAATTTTCTTGGTTCTAGGGATAAACGAGGCTTTGGGGACCTGAGAACCTGGGGTTCATGCAAACATATGTTTAGGGAAGTGGGTAAAATCATTACTTTTAATTTCAGATTATAGACGTAGATCTAGGTATTGGTAAATGAGGAATTCTGAATTAGTATCCATGTCGATAAGATGGGATCCTCCTATCTCTGCAAGTGTACGCTCTTTTGAGAAATACTTGGATTTTTGAAATAAACTTTGCATAGCAAAGTGAAAGATGTTATAATGGGACAATCAGAAACATAAAAGATGTTAATAAGGAATAATCAGAAAACCAGAAAGGTACCAATTGCAAATTTTCATCAAAAGTAAAACCAAAGCTCCATAAAAACAAAGTGCGTTTAACATGGAAACAAAGTACATACAACAGCATCAATCCTATATCCTCTTATGGCGAATATAAGTAAATGTGCAACAATAAATTTCTCCCGAGAATTTATGAGTAAAAAACGTGAAAAGGTATAGTCCAGTTACTCATACATTGAACAATAACTTTGGTACAACTCATGCTGGAAAAATAAAGGTTATTTTACACGATGGTCATCAAACAGTTTCATAAAAGTAATATTGAGCTGGAAAATAACTCAACGTTTCCATGTTAACTTAAACCTTGCATGATAGCATGGCTACAAAAGAAAAATAACATTTGTAAAGATAAAAATTGAATAAACCAGCAGCTGTGCTATGATTGTCTCTCAGCTATGTTATTGGTATAAAAATCTTTTGGCGAATGACAGTGTTTTGGTATTGCGCTACAAAAGAATCAGGCATTTTTGGCGTGTGGTTAGGAGACTACTAGTTGACATGTGGACTCAAAAAACCAAATAAACAAAAAACCTAATGCGTGTCAACGCATTTAAAAAATTGAAGAGGGTGAAATTGAGGTAGAGGCAAAGACAGCAGTTATCAGGATGCAGACAAAAATATAATACACACCCTCTCCTCCAGATCTTTTACAACGTAACCTTGAACTCGTGCTTGGGAAGCACCATTTTCGTCGAGCACATGGGTACCATTTAAATGCCTAGGAGATATGACATTTTTTCTTGAATGGTAATCTCATGTGTGATAACGTTTATTTCAATAATAATTTCATTATCATAAACCATGTCTTAGATAATCGATACAAATATAATTATGCTGGACAGAAATATAAGTAAAAAGATAAGGTCCGTGTTCACATGTTCCCTTAAAGTCGTCAAACAACGTCCCCTGTTGCCTCTCGCGATCTTGATAGAATGCTTTCTTTATACCCCTTAAAATTACGAAAAATTACCATGTCTTTTAAATCTTTTAGTTTATAATCTTTTCTTGAACACTTGAAAAATAAGATAGAAAACATCAGAAAAAATATACCAGATTCTTCCTTAAATCTTCTACAAAATGCATTGAATGTATGTCATAATACTGTATGTTTTGTACAGAGAAAATAAAGACGATTGAGGTTTCTATGGCTATATATGATCTTTAGAGCTATATGTCTTGAGCAACAGTGGAAAGGACTTGCCACATATAAGGGAACAAAGGGTGGGGGGGGGGGTAAAACAACGGAAACTTACAGAATGAATTCTCTCTTGTCTTGGAATCTCTTGTCACAACTTGGCCATTGGCATTTCCCATCTTTAAACAGTCTGCTTATGACTAGAATTGACAAATAACTAGGATTATGTAAAGCAAACATCATAATAACAGTTTAGGAAATAAAAGCATTACTAGTCAGCAGCAAGGACTGACAGAGATCAAAACCAGGAAGGATAAAAAACCAGGAAGGATGCATTAGTCTTCAGTTCAACTGTTCATGTTTCCGATATTGCTGAGGTTCGCTGTAGAGTCTTGTAAGCGAAACCAGGTATGTTCGCATGAATTCTAAACTCAACATAGCTACACCTATTTGGTTTTGAAAGAATCCGTCCATGAGAAGCCAAGCCCTAAAATTGACCAAAAAAATCTTACTTTTATCAGATGACTAATCAAGTTCAACCATAGGAAACTCATTCTTTAAAGATGGGATTGTTTTTTCGACGATAAGGCCCCTATTTCTTGTAACCTTTACATATGTAGTAGAAAGAAAAACTCTGTGAAAATGTAATGGTACGTTTTGTGTTTCTAAAAAGTAGCTCTTTGGCACTTGGCATTTAATAACCTATCGGAAACTTTTAATCAACAATAAAAATAATCAAGAGTTTAGTCTCTCATAAAAATGCGCATACAGGGGCGTAGCGTGCGAAGGGCGTGGGGTGGGCGTCATACCCCAAACTTTCAGAGAACTCGTCGGTAGGTCTACATTTTTAACAAAATAATTTTATGCCAAATGAAGAAAAAGAATTTCTGTCGGTAGCATCTCTCACAAACCCCCCCCCCCCTCCCCCAAGCGAGAAAGGTCACGCTACGTCACTGTGCGTATAATCAAATACAATTGGCTACTTTTGATCTACAGCCAACCAAAAGCAAGAGAAAAAATATTGATTTCTTTGATGCGTTTTCCTGGCAGTATTAGAACGAGTTGCTGCTGAAAATCAAGGCAAAGGCAGCGATAAACCCTTTTCAAAATAAAGATAAACAAGACCTTGTTTGAGACTACAATTAGTTTGGAAGGAAAACCAACAGAATCCGCTCATGGCCGCTTTGATTCGTACGGGTCACTCACAAATAGATCCTTATTAGCAGCGATGTATGAAGGCTGCCGTAATGAGATTAATCAAGCTCATTTTCAAGAGAGATATGAATCAGTGTTAATCACTGGATTAACAGATGGCCAGAAAACCGCGTCCATGCACGAACATAGAGCTTACAAACAAGAACATCTGTCTCACACAATAGACTCGCCTCTCTTACAAAAAACATTTACAAGCAAAGCAAGATCTTTCTTTCAAAGAGTTCTGGAGACTTTATGTCTGGATAAACAAATTGTAATGAAAACTTCAATGAGTGAAAATTGCTTTTCATTGCAAACTGTCTGGCTATAACAAGAAGGAGTTAACTAAAAGTTAACGCGAACATCATCAGTTTTGGTTATTTTATAACCAAGAAATTTAATTTGGTTAACCGCAAGAAAACATTCTTAGAGGAGAGCATGGAACAAAATAAAATATTTTTCCAGGCATTTTGGATCTTAATTTCAATAACTGGTCATTTGTGAGACAAGACATTATGAGACAATTGCAACATATCTGCGATTATTCGTGCTTATCCATATAGCACAAATTCATCTCTATTCACTTTTGTGCTAAATCAAGCTTTGGTGTGCTTTACTTTTTTAGAGCATGTACAATTTCTCATTGTTTGGCATACATAATCTTTTAAAGTGCATTTGTTTTTGGCAGAAAACGGAACGCACGATGAAACTTAACGGAACTGATATGTTATCTCTAAGTTATAACAAGCATAATTTACCCAGGTAATCCTTAGCTTTTTTGCCATCTTAAATCACGGCGCCGTTTAGCTACACTAAACATGCTAAGGTCTGGGATCGAGTTATGACTCATACGTCAACACGAAACAAGGAAAAAGGAACTGCAAACCCATAAAAGTAAAGAAAGTTGGTGGCACTGACTTTCGAACTATCTTCGTGGCAGTAATGACATTATATAACTCTGAATCATTCAAATTTCGCCTCAAGCTAGGCACCCATCTGAAGTATCGTCACATACTTTGACACCTGACTCTTCTTCCATTCTTTCGAATAAAACCGAGCGCATGAAATGATGCACAACTCTTTTTGAAAACTTGTGCACAAAGCTACAGTTCTTACATCGCCCCTTCACAATTCCATTTGCAAAGACCACTTTTATTTGAAATCGTTGAGCGCATGGAGAATGCTAGAAAGCACTTTTCATTTTCCTCTATTTGAACTTAGTAAGCAACTGTTTGGAAACCTTATTTACAAAAGTACAAAAAAACATCCGCAAATTTTGCATTATTAAGGAACTCTCGCCGTCTATTTTTTGTATCCGACATATTATTCCTGTAATAAATTCACATTGTTGTCCTATGAATTATAAATTGATAGGTTCTAGAGAACTTTGAACACAGATAACGTAGCTCTTTAAGATTCTAAAATGCATTAGAACTGCAACGAACTGTATCTTAATTCTGAAAATCCTTTTCGTCTTGAACTCATTTAAGTATGAAACATAAATAATCAAGAATAGAATTAATCAAGCAAGGCTTGAAAATGGGCAGGGCTCTTCCTTACAAATGAAAACAGATATTAAAGATGGCGCAAATATTGACTGGCCGAGACTTGTTAGTATCAAAATCTTGATGACGCTACCAAACACGAGAGAATAATCTGGAAAATTATTAACAAAACAAAAACAGGCAACACGTGGCTATTAAATTCAGTCTAAAGAAAGCGCGATGTGGCGAGGGAAGGATTAAAATTAAACTTGTGCAAACGAGTAGAACAAAAGACAAATATGTACTTTAACATCCGCAATACAAAATTTTTCTGATTAAACAAAGATGGTTCCCTTGGCGTCAAAACCAATTGCTCACAATCAAAGATTCTCGAGCTAGTTTGTATTATTTTGTTGCATTTAATTATAGATTCCTTGCTTTCAGAAATTACATGCGCATTCTTCTTTGGTGTTTTATTACAGTCAACGGTTGATGCAGTCCATACATTAAAAAACAGACGGTTTGGAATGAATAAATCTTTTATACTGTATAACAGTACACGCGCGATGAAAACACATTGACTTATTCCTTCCAAGTTTATTTAACGTCAGCCAGAGAAACAAAAACCTTATTGCATGGGAAATTAGGGCACAACAAAGCAAACAATTATCAGTTCTTTATTCCAATAAGTCTTGAACTTAAATAAATTAATGTCGCAGTTCCAAACGATTATTTAGGCTGCAGTTGCATCACAAACATTGTCAGAGGCGTCTGTAATCAAAGGCCTCTTTTCGAAACTTCTGTCAACAAAATATAAACTCGACTGCTAACAAGCCGCAGTATGCGCCCAATGAAACAATCCTTTGCGCAGTTAAGAGTGGTTGTTGTGACTAAATGTGAGCTTGCCTGTTTTTTTCTAAAACTAGCGGAGGTCAGAGCGCACTCAAAAACATGGGAAGTGATCGTGAGCCTATGGGATAGCCTTGGGTCAAGAAAAATAAGGGCGTATGTTTTTTAGCACACTGCTGTCACAAATAACTTTAATTTGAAGCGCTGTAATTTATCCAAAACATTCCTGCAACACAAACATGCTTTCACAAATAACTTTATTTTGAAGCATTGTAATTTATCCAAAACATTCCTACAACCCAAGATAGCTTCATCGCGTTCCGGAAAGAAATTTTGGTTAACAGATGAATCCCATTAATGCGGACATTCAAATGGCGTATGGTAATGCTCTGAATTAGCCAATTCAACTTATTCGGGGTTAACTAATTGAAAGATATTGGAATTGAAAATCAGCCAGAACAAGTTAAAGTATGGATTATCCGGGGTACAACTTAACCGGCCGTAACTGTACTGCATAACTTACAAGCGCGGACGTGAACTTTCATAAATTTTTTAAACAAAAGATCAAGCTAGTTTTCAATATACCAGGTGGACACAAGAGTAGGTTTATCTCAAATTCTACCTAGAAAACTAGGCTAAAATACGCATGTTGCTTTGCAGGTTATTAATGCGTGGGTTCCTGGGGTCGGCTTGTTTGCAGCATCCATGAAGCGTTATCATTACTCGATTTCATATCAGCGCTCTCTACATATCGATCAATCAGATGTTGGCTATTTGAAGACGAAACGACTCGAAAGAGATAAAATTTTCCCAAAAGCGCAACGTGAATCGTGGTCATATCTGTAAGGTCAAACGAACCGAACATGCCTGATTAGAATAAGCATAAAAAGCAACAGTTGACCAAGAAACTTCAGTAATCAAATAAGTTATGGGTCTACGCCGCGTTAAGCGATTTCGATCACATGATGAAGTCGCACTACCGCTGACACGAGGGTCAGTGGGACAGATATCGTGGTATAACCTTTAAATCTTTCGATTGAAAAATGTTTCACTGTAAGAGAAACTTATGCAAACACGCATCATTTCATAAGAAACCCTAACCGTACAACAAGAAAAAAAATTCCCGTATTGATTATCCACACGCGTAAGAGACAACTTGAAAACGATTCATTTAAAGATGAGATGGAAACGATACTTTTAGAAGATCAGGAAACGACCTATCTCTGGCACAACTGAATGAGAGAATATCCTTGTGACTGATTAAGTATTCTGTTTGATGTTATGTCACCTTATGTTTTTGTTTGCTATATTTGTTAAGAAAGAACTATTGTTATTTTTTAAGAAACTTTCAGTACTAGAATCAACGAAAAAGTTAAGAAAGTGAATTTTTATCTTAAACCTCTCTAGCTTCTTTTAAAAATATGCATTTATGAGAGTGAAAGTAGGATCCAAGTGGGACACTGCTGACTAGGAGCCTAATGATAGCATAACAAGTTGATAAATAGAAATTGCCATTTGGTTTTTTTGTAAAGACTTGTTTATAAAGGAAGCATGGGATTTCGTTTAATAATGCGGAAAAGGTTGCCGTATCTTTCTGCCTAGTTTACCGACGGGAATATCTGTTTGTATTCAAAACATGAGTAAGGAAAACTCCAATTGTATCCACATACTTAACTCCATTTGAATTAGATGCAATCCAATTTGCTTGTCTGGTATTTGTAACTGCATCAATTGTAGCACACAAGGGAACATTGTTGCATGCTTTCTCCATGTGCGCAAACAAGGTCTCAGTGGAATATTTAGACAAAGTATAAAAGAAATTTTTTGTTTATGCTCCAGAAAACCAAAGTTTCCAGCGAAAGATTCGTCAATAAAGTCGTGTCTCTACGGCATAAACAGAACGACACGCATGATACCAACAAAACGTAAACATACCTTGGGACTCTTCAGCTCCGTTTTTCATATCATGCCTAAAAAGGAACATAATCATTACCGCTATTTATCTTTCTTGTAGCTTAATGATATGCACAAATTCGGTTTAGTTTTACAGTGTATTGGTCTACTTTATCATAACCAAAAAAGGTAGATATTATAGCAAGCCTTCGACATGGAAATGGTATATCATTTGAGTTACAGGATATAAAGACATGCTTACAATGCCTGTCAAAAGTACTTGGAACACCCAGCAATTTACGCTGCATTTGATATCTTTCATTCTTTTCATGAAAAAAATTGCTACTTCCGCCCCCTTCGCCCTAAAACAATTTCGATAATTTAGAGAAATATCATAAAAGAAGCGCAGTAGATAGGGCTTCCTAAAATCCTAACCCGTTTGATAGTAAACCAACATTGTTCTGTAGGGGAGAGGAGGATGATTGATTTTGACCTTGGAAATTGATGTCAGTGTTCCAAGACTTTTGGCAGGCATTGTAAATGACAATTATTTCTTCAACACAGCTAAAGATGTCTGTAATCTAATTATACAACTTTGCATCGCCTTCTTACAAATAATTGTACTTCATGTCACATGCTGATAACACTATGCTATACCTTTTGCATTCTCAAATGTTATCCTTTATTTTAATCCTTTATTTTAATCTTAGGCATTCCAAGATTTCTAGATCTTTTTTAGAAAAAAACATTGCAAATATTCAGTTATATGTTCACGAATTAAAAATTGGTATCTTTATTCTTCAAACTTCAAAGAAGCAGGGAGTGTTTTAGTGATTTCAGTGTTCATCCATGACATTGTTGGCGCATGATTCCATGATTTAAAGCAATTTTGCGATTCAGTAAATTCAATTCTAAATGATGCGATGACTGTGCAGGTAAAGTGACATTCTTCTTGCAACAAACTATCAAAACACAAAATTTTGCGCAGGAAAAATTTAACGAAACAGTAAGCAGGTATGGATTAAACGCTGAAATTAAGACATTATTCATTATCTCTCCCATCACGTGAAAAATTGCTTAAATTCTATTGGCTGTATATCACTCTTACGTCATTAGCTATTGTCGTATTGTGTGGCTTAGATTATGTTTTGCTTCAATTTCAAAGTTTTTCTTACATACATACAACATATGCTGCGATTTGCGAGACTAAACTGCATAGAATACAGCCGTTTTCGAAACAATGGAAAATAATGTCTTGTCTTGAACAAATACTAACATAAGGGTAGGCTGAAAGAAAATCAAGATTATTAACTCCATTTTGGGATCACATGTTATAGATGCATTAATTGTGATGTTGGCTTTATGCCCTGTTATTGTCACTTTGATTGAAAAAGAAATGGTGTTGAGATGAGAAGTCAATTTTTTACAACCAAAAGAGTCTTGTGGAAATAAAAATTTTGATGATGTGAAGTACCTTACCATAAATAAAACGTGAAAAAATTGTCATTATTTTGGCGAATTTGACTAAAAAGATTTTGGCGGCCTTTTGGCTCTTTCCGAATAATTTTTACTTCGTTGAAGTCTTTAATCATATGCAGGTGGAAACTAAATATAAGAGAGACTCTTTAACTTCTTCACCACAACCTCATTAAGCTAAACTGCATCACAAGAAGAATTTGTCGATTAAATGAGTAGCTCTACAAGACCATGAGCTTTGGAACAATAAACGTGTAACGATGAAAGGACACTGGCTCAACTGTTTGTGATTATTCTAACTTTCTGTGAAAGGTGACAATGGTTCAACAACAGTAACAGTAAAAATTGATGAGACTTCGATTTTGCATGTTCTGTGAACCAGAGAGCCATTAGGCCACTGTAACAATTACGGTGATCCCTCAAGGAAGGAATATCATGCTAATTCTGGAAGCCCAATTGCAATACGCTCATCGTGAATATATGGATAGCGCGTGTCACAGTCCTTGAAAGACTGGCAATTGCTCGTTTCTGCAATAATGGTCATTCACTTGTAGGAGCCTTCAATCAAAAAATCATTGCATGTCTTTTACCAAGAGGAGCCTTGAACTCCCAACAAGTTGTGGTCCTCTCCATCGACACTGATTGCATGTCATTCACTAAAAGGAGCCTTGCAGGCGCAACAACCCCAAAAATGTCATGATTGCACAACGTATAACTAAAATGATATCATCTTGTGTGTTGGGTCGCAGGGTTAGCTTTCTTCATTTTCACTTCGAATCAGGTTTCTAAGCCGGAGGTGTTTACCCGTGAAAAGAAAGGGCCTAAAAATCCACCGTTTGAAAGACTAAAGGTAAATAGACGAGATCTATGTTGACTTCAAGTCATAAACCAGCTTTGACTTATCAGATCAACATGCGAGAAGAAACACTTGCAAACCCCCAAAAAGATGGCAAAATCAAAGAAGATATCATCTAACATATATTCGAGCTCAGAAAACCTTGCGCAAGAACAAACGGCCTGCAGATGCAAAGAGTCAATAGATAAGATGAATAAACGTACACATAAGAATTCACCTCAGTGATTTCCTATCATAGAACTAAGGAGAGCAAAGAAAGTCATGTTGCCATCAATATCAGTGTGGTCTTATACAGTTAAGTGACCGGTTTAGCATTCGCAAGATCATTTCTAGCCACGTCAAGACATATTCTCGACATTCTCACAAATGGGTGTAAACATTTTATGACCCATACTTCACAGCTTTTTAGTAGTAAAAAGTACTTTTAAATAACAAAGCACTTCTGACGAAGAATTAAGTACTCCTGAATTTTAGGTTATCAAAGTTATTATGGATATCGCTCTTCCTTCGTCATTCTAGACTTCACCCAGATAAAACGTGAGGTTCACATAGATATGCAGGAGATTTTCACCGTGTAATGACGTCAGGAGAATTCAGCTACCACATGACGTCAGGAGAATACAGCTATCATACTCAAGTACAATCTTATCTGCGGCTTGTTGCTACTTTTTCAAGGTAACTTATAACTTCTAAAAACTTCGAGTATCGAAGTTTAGTTCTCAAAAGACTGTAGTTCTGTCCTTTTATTCAGTTTAAAAGAGAATTACCAACGTCATATTTTGGTCCCTTGATCGATGAGTAACACAGAATTTTCTACTTTGTTTAAATACTTTTCCTAGACCTATAATTTCGCGTTTGTAACAATCAGGTTGCGAAAAATGGAGCATCTGTGACCTACCTGAATATTTATAAATTTTGTCAGTTTTTATTTGAAATAGATGTGGTCATTCAACCCATGGTCTCCAATATTGACAGTGGGGAGAAGAAATACACAATCCATAACAACAAAGCAGCATTTGTAGAGCATTGTTAGTTTACTTAAAACATACGCCTACAGTCAAAGAAAAATAACACTTTTTCAAAAACAATTACAGTGGGCTTGGCTAACAAACAGCCGCGTTTGAATAAGTCAAATTCATTGTGAGTTGCTGCTCGTTTCTGTAAACATGTGGGTTATGGCTGACAAAGCTTTCGTTGCATTTCCATATGTGAAACCAGCAAAATCAGAAATAACTTTCCCAATGCTCGTATTTGACACTAGCAAAACATTAGCAAAAAACGACGCAATAACCAGACTAGGGTGCGAAAAGGGGCTAGCTGAAGAGCAGAGCGAAAGGAATGAACAAAATCGAGTTCGCAGTTGTCTCAGTTCAAATGAACAAGTTCTCAGAATGAGCGAAAGGTTCACAGTGTAAACGCTGAAATCTCCAGAGTAAACTCGAGACTGTCATCCCCAAACCAAACTTCATTCGTTATAGAATGAAAATGAAGCTTTGAAAGTACAAATACTTCACTCTGTCGAAAGACGCAAATGTCGGATGATACTGAGGTGCTCGCAAAACCAGGTTGTCAAAGACTTTGGTTATCAATTTAGCATCAACAAACTTCTGTTTCAAATAAGCGAGCTCTCCCAACAATTAGAAAGTTATTAGAAAGTCGACGAATCTTTTAAGAATCAAAACTAGCAAACTGTTGGAATAATTAAGGGCACATCAGAAGACTCGTTGAATCGGCCACACGAACAGAAATTCCAAGAAATTTATAGCAACGATTTCAACTATTTACGAGCATTTTGATGACGTCTGGTAGACAACATTTATCGCAAAATTGTCTGTAACTCACATCAACCTGGCAGGATTTACAACGATTGCCCGTCATTTCACTAACCATCTCTATAAGGAACACCGGCAGATGTGTTTAAGTTACATAAGAATTATCAGGAATGGATTGTCTTAACGTGGAAGAAAAAATGTCTAGAAAATATAGAAAAATATAGAAAATAATTTTTTCAAGGATTTCTAGCAACGTTGTTGATGACGTTTTGCTAATTGCTAAATTGAGGAACTTGTTCAACGTATTTTGAGAAGGATGAATCAAGATTCTGATCTTTACAGTTCACTGATGTTTGTAACAAGGACCTGGAATGCTTATGATTCCGGTGTAACAAGAATCCGGAAAGCCGACCGGTCACTCAGCTTAACAACATTTTGCACTCCGAACCTACAATATCGATGACGTTTAGAGGAAGCACCCTCTACGATAATTTTCTAATCAAACTTACATTTATTGAATTAAAAAATGTGATTGTTTCTTCTGGATCTAAATGAACAATTTTCCACTGAACATAAGTTCGAGCATCACAGCTTTTCAAAGCCGAAATTTCCCTAAAAACTTTCAACATACTGACATTTCTATCGAAAATTACAGCAAAAAGATGATTGAAAGTTGGAATTATTTTTCGAGTCAAAAGCAATCCAGGAGAATTGAATGGCAAATTCTCCAGCATATAGGAAAAAGTTTGTTAAGTCTGGTATAATGTTTATGAAAGTTAATATTTCACTTAATAGCGGATTCATTAATCTAGTTAAAAATCTATGAGAAAATTCTATTGGTGCTCTTTTCAAGTCGGTTTATCTAAAAATGGATGCACATTTGGCAATCTACTGAAACTTTTATAGAACGAAAATGAAAACTTCAACAGGTTGAAGATCTGCATTACGGGATGTATAAATTTGGTAAGAAAATGGAAAACATTGCTAACATTTCATTTGGAGACAACAAAATTTTTTTTCAAATCAGCTTGATGATTTTCTTAAAGAAAACCGGTTTACATCAGAACAAAAACTTGACATTCGCAATACCAAAAACGAATAGCTGCGTCTGAAAGCACATATAATTTGCATTCTAAAGTTTCGCCTACATTTTCGCTTTGCTCCAACTGCATATTTTATCTTAATTTGCATTTCATTGCATATGTAAGACGGATTTTCACAAAATCATCGCATATCTAGATCTCAATTTGCCTCAGATTGTCAACAAAAAATTGAAATTGATGTTAATCAAAGCTAAAAAATCATAGTTCTGAAAATAAAAATCGAGTGACTGAGATATTTCGGATTTTCTGTTCTTGCAAGGGATAGATTTTCTTCTGAAATTATCTGCGCCGAAGGAGTCAAACATAGAAGAAACAAAAGATAATCTTTTATACTTGGAAAAAAGGTGTTTCAATTATTTATCGTATATTTCCATCTTCCGTATGGAGAATGTTTGTTAATTTACTCGCACAATTTGCAAAGGAACCCGAAAACTATGATTAGCAAGAAAAATTGAATTTGCAACGCCAGCTGGTACAAAGCGAAATCTTCGACGATTCTACAAAACAGTATTTTCAAGAATTTTAGCAAGACTGCAAAAAGCCCAGATTTGATGATAATTAAGTGAAAATTTTGAACGGAGTTAAAAATATATGTCTTTGAAACATTATAAGGACGACAAGCAAACGCTTTAGGTGTCCTTTATGATTAGTAAAAATTAAAACCGTTTCATGTTTGCATGATCTTGAAAATTATTGATTTTATGGAAAAGTTGTGTTTATCGCTTTTAAGTAACGCCACACTTTTAAGTACTCTTCTTTGACTGCATAGTTAAATTTCTATTTTGTAAACATTATTCACAAAATGGCGATTCTAGGATCTTATAATAAAACCTGAAAATAATTTTCATACATTTGGCATATATAAAGTTATGCATTTGAACCAATTTAATCTCAAATGGTACGAAAACAAAATCAATTCTGCTTTGCACTAATCATTAGCTTTTACTTTTCGACTAATTTCTCAAAAAATCAAATCTGCTAAAATTATTGAATTTTGAGCATGTATCCAACATTTGCGCTTTTGGTTGAAAAAACATGTTTGCTATCGGTGTAGCTATAATTGACATCGACAAAAATATTCAAATACGGTAAATTGAAAAAGAATGGAGACTCTAATATGTAGACAGGTATCTTGAGGTGAAAATAATGGCTTAGTCAGAGGTGAAAGCTTGACTATAATTATACTGGTGTTCTTTCCAGACGTAAAACGGCATTGTTAGCGTCTAAATATCTACACGACAATACAGAACATCGTCTGAGAAAATTCCAAGACAAAAGATGACAGCAGTGGGAAAAGAGATTTATAAAGAAGAATGTAGGACTCACCGTTTGGGCTTGCCGTCACTTGGACTTGTAACATGTTCTAAGTAGCCATTCGTGAGAGAGGAACTCCTTGTAGGGGACATCTGAAAACAAGCACAGTTCATCGCAATGTGAATAGGAATCGTGAAAAATCCAGTCAATCTATTGTCTTATGCTAGAAATCATTTAAGACAGTCCAGTATGCGAGCGCTAGCGATCTTCGCCCACCGTACGACGAAACATCAATCATTACCCAGCCAGATATACAACACACATTTGTAGGTCAACTGAATTAAAATTTAATGTTGCTGATTCGTAATTTACCGGTAAACCTTAGGTACAGCGCTAAGTAAACACAAGCTGTTATATCAAAGTAAGCACATGCTCTTTATCCTTGAATGACAATGAAACTATAAAAGCTCGAATGAGTTAAAGCAAAATACAACATGAAAATTCTCTACTTTGCAGACTCGAGAGACGTTATGGGCGATGTTTGAGCAGTTGTTTTTATGTACTTTAATTACTGTTTCCTTTGATAAAAGAACAATGCTACATCACCTGTCTGTTTATGGTCTATCTGCTAGGTATGATTTCAAGATGAACTTGTATGAGTAAGCAAACTTACAAATGAAAACTGAAAGTTGTGCGGCCAAATCAAAACACTAACAAAAGTTCAAGAGCTATGATTCAGCATTATCGCTACATCGCCAGTTAATTACTGTTTCAGAGCAAACTTGAGAAAGCGATGGCTTTAGGCTTCCAGTTCCTTCACAACCCTCTATGGTGTCTTACTTCTTTACTCTTTCACGTCACTCTCTGTTTATTAACATGAATCTTTATTTAATCCGAAACGAATCTTTTTGAATCTTTGTTAATATCGCCCATATTCCTTACAGGTTTCTATACCTAAGAGGAGAAGAGTCCCGCATACCCACAAGAATGGGAGCCAAACACGCGCTTTTTGAATCAACAATCTTCACGTGAAAGCAAGTTTTATTCGCATCCTTCTAACTGTGATAGAAATTCGTTGTTGTGGTTGCTTTGAATGAGAGCTCCCCAGTTATTGTAAAAAATGTGTTAACACCACGCTGCTTTATTAAAAAATTTAAAATTTCGCCTAAATTTTTAGCTACACGGTTGGGTGTGGAATTACACACAGATCAAAACTGATAACACTTCCTTGCAAGTGCGCAACAAACGTCAAAATGTGAGGCATTTGAATCTGTTGACAATGCTTAACCATATCGCGTGCAAGCTTCTACTCGTGATGCTAATATAAAACAAACAGAGAATATTCTCACCTTCATACAATATATAGCATCTTTAACCAAAATTATCTAATACCAACTTCCACATCACAGTGTTCGGTTGATCTTATGTTATCTTTCAAAATAACAGGTTGGTAGGCCTCTCAATAGTAAATCGAAAGGTTTATTTAATGGAAACGTTACAAAAAGCGAGCCAAATTTGCGATTTTCCGCTAAATTTCTTTGCTAATGTATTTTCAGTTTTCCTATGTGCCTGCCAAAATCGAACTTATTATGTAACTGCTGTTAAAGTATCGCTCAGACATCAGCAAAAATAACAAACAAAAAATCTTAAGCACAACAAAAATCTCATTGGACCCCAAAAAATTCACAACAGATTAAAAATACTTTCGAGCTGAAATTCTTAAAGATGGCGGACACCAAACACCAAAGAACACCAAAACAAAATCAACGAAGCAGCTAGGCCAGAGTTGCCAATAACATCACAAGAAAACAATATGAGGAAGCCATCAGTAGTGACACTCACTCTAGAGATTGCAGACCTCCATGGAGAGTTTGATGAATAGAGATAATCCATTCCTCTTTATATTATTCTTCAAGCTTCCAAATAAAAATTCAAACAACCGTTTGATAGCCATGTTCCAGACACAGTTTCCATCTTTCGTACCAGCTTTGCAGAGCATAAACAGCAACAAATAAACACAGGTAGAGTATTCAGAGCTTGCACAATTTGTCAACAAATAATGCATAAATTATTACTGGATTCACGCGAATGCCACTGTTCTTGCAAATTAAAAAATTTTTTTAAACTATAAGGAAACGTAGAAAGAATTTGGGAGAAGATGTTTAAGTTATACCTGTACTTAATCGTAGCGCGTGCGCTGTTTGTAACGTCTAGGCCATTTATTTCTGAGACTGAATACCATAATATTAAACATAAAGGTACCAAAATAGAAAGTTTTTGCCATGAAATATTTTAGCATTTCAAAGAAAACCTATTATCAGCCTTTACATAAAAACTTAAACCATTTTCATTATTTCGAAATTGATATAATTGTTGACTAATTCAAGCTCAAATTTTTTCTATTCTTAAAATCTTTCTTTTATGTTAAAATCTTTCTTTTATCTTTGATGTTAAAATGCTTTAGTTATATTTGCATATTTGCGAAGCAAAAGCATTGCAAAGATAAAAGACAACCCAATCCTTAGAAAACAAAACTGCTGGAGAACAATTTTTGTATTTTCAACTCTTTGCAATCGATGGAGCCCAGACTTTGCACTGCTTTAAATGTACATAAAAAGATACCCGAAAATCTTGGAATTCAAAGGATTTTTCGAACTATTGATTTCAAAGTTATTTGACTGTATGCCCGACTCAGCTCAAGATGAATACGGAAGAAGAGGAAGAAAATGAAGAAAAGAAGAAAATTGTAACGAAACTTTCCAAGTATTTGAAAAAGGATTGCTAATCAAGGGTAACACATTATATCATAGGCAACGAAGACGATAGGCTCCTGGCAGGAAGCTGTAGGGAATGTCAGGTTCGTGACTGAGAGTTTAATTAATTCTACAAACTCTACTAGTTTCAAACTGCAACTTTGTACTACAATAAATGCTAAATATCTTCAAAACAAGATAAAAATCAAATATAGTAATATAAATAAAAAAACGGGAATCTTACAATCTAGGATTCGAAACGTGTTAAATCTATTTAGCGCTTGATCATGTCTTCGCATAAAACTGGAATATAGGCCCAATGAAAACAACAAACATTCTTTTAACCAGCAAATAACTGACTGGGAACAAATATATTTCGTAATTATTGAGAAGAAAGATCCTGCAATTTTTATAGATCTCTTTCATCTTGTATTTTAGAACTTCTGGAGAAAATTATCTGGCACTGTGCACCAAAACGTGATGCATGCTTTATGGCAGAAATTCAGGAAAACAGCAATTTGATATGTCAATTCGGACCTGAATGTAACATACTAGCAGGATTAATAAAAATTATTGTGCAAGGAAGTATGATTTGATGAAGATTTTGATGATGAAATGATTTAAGAACGATGAATTGAAAGATACCCAATATACATAATAATAATAATAACAATAATAATAATAATAATATTAATAATAAAAATAATAAGAGGATTATTTATACAGGGTAAAACCTTGTCAATACTACGAGTATTGTCATCAATAAGGGCCCTGTTTGAAAGAAAAAAAATTTAACTCATCAAAAATACATAATACAAAGTAAAAGCCTTAAAATGTCTTTTAATATTTCTTCATAAAAACAGGTTTACTCTATCTTGCTATTCACACGGTTGGATTTACGATCATATTAGACGTGCATCTCAGAGTTGCAACTTAGAACCGAAATGCTTTATACACCAAAGCTTTGCTGACCATACAAATCTTTTACAATGAATACCTCAAAACCTATTTGCGTTGGATACTTCTAAGCTACTATATACAAAGCAGTCTGAAAAGAACATTAATATAGCTATCATTATAAAAGACTGATAATTAAACAGAAAATAATAAACAGGAATATAAGAGCAAAATGAAGATATAGATTGGTGACTATAGCGTTTAGGCCGGTTATCCTAAATTTTGCATAATGTTTCAAGAATGAAAACTATCATCAACAAGTAGAGTACGTTTTCGTTTACATCGTTTACACTTTAGGTCTAGTATCAAAGGCTTACGCAAAACAATATGGCAGGCAAAAAATTTTATAAAGGAAAGTGTAGTAGAAAACTAGCAAAACCTGATTTGGAAAACCGCAGAAACCACAGTCTAATGAAGTTCTCGCGATTGCAACTGGCGTGGTAAAGACGCTAATTGATAGACAAATAGCTAATAATGCCAAGATCCTTAAGGTAGGTACTTGAACAGAATTTGTGGACGGGACAAGTTTCTACGGCAAATGTTGATTAAGCTACTGGGCGGAGAACACCAGTGGAAACAAACTGAACCACCTGGTTTGACCAACGAAGGAAAATAAAAGCTTTGCTTATTTGAACAGAAACAGTTTGTTGACATAGTAGAAGAAAGTTTGGCAATATTCTATTAAGCCAAAGCATGGAATGATTACAAATTATATGTCGCCGAACAATACTATGACTGACCTCAACGTACCCAATAAGATAAATTAAACTTGTACGCACGAATTCCATCTGTTTTGCTTGCAACCGCTAAACTGTATATCAACAAAAATTAGACCGGGTGGTGAAAATAAACTTGGGGTCTGGAACGAGACAATACAAAAGATGATGCTACTTGTGTCCTGAAACATCGTAGCAAAAAGTATTGAGACTAAACAAACCACGAAAGATACCGGTATGTTAATTAGCAAATGGTTGCGAAAAGGTATTTAAAATTCAACGTGGAGAAATGAACCTATAGAAGTTAACTATGACTAGGTTAAAAGGCCTTCAGTTCTGATACATCGAGTACTTGAGGCAAATTTGATGCACCTATTGAAAACATCAGTTGAATCAGTTGGTCGTTGCATTGAAACACACATTATAATGGTAAACTGAAGGTACACCTGATTTGCATGATCGGCCAAGATACGGCTGTCTGGGAGGGATCATATCGGAAATTGAAGTTTATAATAACCAAAAATTTAGCCTTGTCCATCTTTCTCGCAAAACAGAGGTGCCTTAAAAGTAAATGCAACGCATTTCAGCTCAAAAGATTTGGATTCAACAACACATCGTCGGAACTTGACTTAGCTAGCCACCAATATCTTAACGTAGGAAAAAATCTATAGAAATAAACGAAGCAACAATACAAGGAGTGATTTAGCTTCTATCAAGCATGTTTTT